GCCTGGAGTACACGTACGAGTTCAGCGTATCTAGGATATTTTCTTCCTCCACATAACCTGTGAAGTTGCTTAAAAATGAAATATTACTGAAAGAGCCACCACTTGAGACTTACCCGTGATAATTTTCGGCAAAATTCGTGGTGCGCTGAACCCGCACCATATGCTTACACCACATGGTAGAAAACGGCCCTTCCAGCCAGGTGTCTTCGAAGTAAGTTAGGAAATTCATACATGGCTGATAGGCTGGATGATCTCTTCTCAGGGGTGGATCCCTCAATGCTCGAACAAATGCCAAATGCTCCGGGGGAGAAACGGCAAGCCTTTGATGGTTCGCCACCATCGAAGCACCCTCGAAGATTTGCTTCGTCCTTTCAAGTATCGAGTAATCCCCAGCGCATTTCTTTTTCGCACCCATGCCTGAGATATATGCCAGGCGCACCCTTCGACAGAGCTGAGGGGAAAGTCCGCTTTAGCAGCATTTATGGCAGCCTTAAGGGTTAAATGAGTTTTGGTTATTTGAAAAGGGAATTAGTACCAATTCATAGTCTAATACTATCCGCAGTTGTGACTCGCCATCAAAATTAGCCGTCTAAAGCGCCTCCTTCAATTTTGCGAAAATATCGAGATAATCCTGCTCCCGTTTGTTTCTCATCATTGCGAACAGCAGTGGCGTCTGAACATGTTTCCAAAGTCAAGGAATAAACGCTGCCATATTATCACCTCAAATTCCCCATTACACACTGCATGTATCGTGTAAAGCTGGCCCCGCTCCATATTAGTGGCAGCTCTTGTGCTTTTTCTTGGGTTCAGTTGATAGATTCCATTAGCTATTAGTGCGGACAGTCCATTCCGTACTGCTTCCTGCAATAACACAACTTCATTCTAGTAATTAAACGTTTTAAGTATTTCTACCTACCGCCACAACATCTTGACAGTAGTAAATGTGCATAGATGGATTTTGAGCTTGCAGAAAAGTGCTGTGCCGTCAGGTCTTCTACGCAGAAATTCCGGCACGTTGTCTATATCCGCGGCCGTGTTTTTCCCCAGTACTGCCCTGCGAAATGCAACTAGTGTTTTGAACAGCAAAGAAAAATCAAGGTTTTGACCTTGAGAAAGAACTTCGTCGTGTTTTGTATTTCTTCTTTGTTATGAAGTAATCAGAACTTTCATCCTCTTGTCCGCGTCACCGCAGCTCATCCTCTCAATCTTTCCAGTCACTGCTAACCAATACATTTGTGTTCCTAGGTGGTTTCCAGTCGGATGCTGTCTCCTTTCCCGCAGACACTGAAAAAAAATTGCAGTTTCTAGATATATAGTGTGCTCGTATATATTCCCTCACTTCATAAGACATGCGTTCGGCTTTATCTTTAGTTCGTTCTAAAGGAGCACATACATGCGCTAATCCAGCGGGTTCGCTGAGGAAGAGATCACCTTTCACCTAAAAACAAGCAAAAATCGTTGAGAATATGAAACCACAAAATTCTGACCAGTATGGACACACTTCTTCCACCTCTCCATTTGCAGTGTGTGCATAAATATGCAAAAACTTCTGGATTGGCTGTGCGACGTTGATACATGAATACGTAGAACAATGGCGTTTCTAAATAAATGTGACAAAAAATTAAGAATACGGCTCGCACAGAGAAAAGGAAAAGGTAGATTACCTGGAATATTGTAAATCATCACTGGGTGTTTGCCGTATTTGCTTATTCTTTTTCTCCGCAAAATAACTCCGTGTTTCTGACTGACCTTGTGTTCGACAACGGATGAGCTTCCGAAGGCTCTTCACTACTGCCAGTCTGTGCTGGGGCCTAAAAAAAATCATAACATTCAAATTGGAACATTTTTTGTATGCAACTTACCTGACTGCCCTCGCTAGAAGAATAAAAGAAAAGATAAGGAGCGGAGGAGTAGTAAAAGGAGTTATTTTGGAACATGTATGCTGAGTAATCATAATGATCCTTTTTTATACATGTTTCGGCATCACGGAGGTCTTCTTACGGCCGTAGGCACTTGTCCTAGTAAGTTAAGGCCGCAGGTCAACATTGCCGAGGGGTTAATAATCTCAAACAGCAATTAGGCCACAGGTCACAGTTTGAAATGACAACCAAGTAACGGTATCATGGCAAAAACAAACGGGAAATAAAATAAAAAAGTAAGAAAATTTAAACCATTGAAAGAGTTTTGGAGTAGAACAGTCTTTATTTTTTATTTGCGAATGAAAGAAAATGAAACTAGAAAAGAAAATAAATAAAGAAATAAAAGTAAACGAAAAAGGAAGAAAATGGACAAGTTTTCTTGAGTTTTACTCCTTATCGCGGTGCGGCGGAAGATGCCGCACGTCAAAATCTGAAAGAGCAATTTTTTCTAAGTGGTTTCATGTAACTTTTGATAGAAGTCGCGACATCGCGGCGCGACGTCGCAAAACGATATCCTTTCTGCTTTCAGCGCAAAAACGATATCCAGCTTGACCCGGTGCCAGCTGTGCTGAGCCCTGCCTCCTGTGCAACCTCTAGCCTCTCAGCTTAAGCAAGCCAAAAACTCTCTTATCATGGTAATGGAAGCCGCTGATTTCGAACATGAAATTTCATTTTGCTGTGATGCTTCTTTCCAGAGTTATCCCAGATAAACCGTAATAACTAAATTCCCAGCATTTGTATAAGATGTAATTGTACCATCAGAAAAGTTGAAAACACTCGTAAAAAGTTGTGTAGTGGAATCAGCGTGCGCGAAAACAAAAAAAAGTTTTGTCAGATGGCATATGTTGATGATTTATGTCTCATCAACCTCAACAATTCTATGTATAATCCTAATAGCTTACGGTTATTCCCCATAGGAGGCTATATTCCCCAATCGCTTATATTTAAAGGCAGCGTCCGGTCAGACTGACGACCTACGGTTTATTGCCTTAATTGGCCCTACTCGTCGCCCTAAATACGAATATAAGCCCCGGAGCGCGTGAAAACGAAGAAATCCGAGGTTTTCGGAAACCCTTCCAGTGGTCTCCGGACGAGCACTCACATGCCCCTGGTCAGAAACCAGAGAAGCAAGACGCCGCAATATTGTGTTGCGGCACGGTAATGACAGTACGAGGTTGCAAGCCGTCCACAGTTATGACAGTGCGAATTGGCAACCTGCACATCTAACATGAAATCCTTGGATGGGCGGGCATGTCGCCGCCGGCCGTAGAGGGGTGTCCCTGTCGCCACTTCTGAGGCTGTTTTCTCGCTTCAGAAGCAAAGTGGAGCGATGTCACTTGGGCAAGACCTTGATCGTGGTGGGAGCTGTAGGAATCTGTGCTTTTCTTGAAATTGTTGGACCTGCCCGGACGCTGCCTTTAAGTGCCGAATCACTCACGAGTGAGTGGCACCTATCTTCCAGGGCCGCGCCAAGCCGCGGCATTCTCTTTCTTGTATATATTTCTTGGACAGTCTGATTGTGCACGGGTCAGCTCCGCTTTACTGCCTATATGAGGAGCCCCCGACTGTATTAGAGGCTCTCCCGGTTCAACAACGGTTTGTCTCAATAAACATTATCAACGACTCCACTATCGTCAGCGAGACACATTGGTTCCCGCCAAAGCATATTTCAATATGGCTCCGCATGCTGGAAGTTCCTACCGTAGTTCTACAGTAATGAAGAGCGATCGGCGATTTGCTCCATACGGTAGATCTAGCAAGGGGGTCCGACTAATCAAAGGGGCCTTTCTAATTGCCTCTTATACAACATTGAAGAGCATCAAACATTGATTCCAAATCTAGTTTCACTATCTGTCGAGCGCTTCTGCATGCCGAGTTACATCATTTTCTAGGTGCGAAGAATGAGCGCATAATCTAGGTAAAATCAAATTATGGTCTTTTCAGCGAACAGAGCAGTGTTGAGTATGAATGTTTAGGACGGAAGGTAATGTTCAAATGGAGTGCTCTGAAAATTAACAGTGAACCATTTGAGCAATTCTGATGAATGTTGTTCTAATTATGCATTCAATTTTTCAACTCAAAAAACGCTCATAATTCGACGTCCAGAGGCGATCGGCAGATAACGAGGACAAATTTGAAATCAGCATTCGATGCTCTACATAGTCGTATCAATTTCATGTGAAAAGGCCACTTCGACCAAACGACCTCCCTTGTAAGTTGAACCTCGCTCTGCAGAATGGTGGCTCAAGTTCGGCAAAAGACATGAAAGCAAGGGAGTTATCAATGATCCGATGAAGGCCGCTTCACCAAAAAAATGCTCCCTTGGGAGAAACTACGGTCTCTTAACAAAATGCAGGATCTTCAAGAATATCGAGTTTTCGGCCGCTGTGCAGTAGGCAAGCACTTCCACACTGCGCTTCAGGAACTCATGCAGTATTCATATGTCACCATGGTACTGATTTTTTGGAGCGTGCTGCAGATAAGCGTCTCATAGGAGCACTATTCATAATGATAGTAGTATCATGCATCTCACACATGACCATCTTGTTAGCTCAGTGTGGGTAGAAGACAGTGGGTCGCCTTATCGCTCGCACAGCTAACAGGAGTGAAGTGCGTATGTGTTGCAGATGTTCGCGCCCTCCCCTTTCGGTGATCAGTAGTTTTCTACACGCTCAGTGTAGCAGAGTGAGGTTCATATGTATGCCGCTCACTCTAGATGGGGATCATTTCAAAATTAGCGGAAAACTCGTCCGCCTTAGGCCTTGGCTAGACTTCACGCGTTTTCAGTCGCCAAGCGATTTGACAGTGTTCCAAAAGCTTGTATCACTTCTTAATCACGTTTTGAATTTCTACCATGTAGGAGTTATTTTAGCAGCCTACAAGAGTTATACATACTGTGCTTTCAAATCCTATTAGTGTTGGATACAAAGACATCTGACAGATTGCCAAATCGCCTGGCGACTGAAGTCGCGTGAGGTACGACCAATTCCGGCGCAGCGTTTGTGCAATAGTTTATAATGTAGGCGACGATGGGTACAGAAAGACCGTTTACCTACACGAATATTGATGGTAAGCTTGCAGATGTCTTCGAGGATCTATATAACCCTTCGTGTGGAGCGAGTGTGTTACTTCGTGGTTTAGCCAAAAGAAAGGATATAGTTCAACCGGTTCTTGCTTTCGCTGTACAGGTTCGCTTCGTTTCATCTTTTTCAGTAGCAGTATATTGCCTAGGTTTCTGACAAGGGAGGGATACTTCGTCGAAGTGGCGTTTTCATAGGAATTGTATACTGCTCAGATAATCGCTGGGGGCAGGCGGGCACCGGAAAAATAGATTGCTGATTTCTCGCATCCCGCTCGCGGATTTTTTGGATAGTAATCAGGACTTTTCGGAAGACCGCTTGCTGAGTCAGCGGATTTTTGAGAGACCGCCTGTTTGATTTTTTTTCGCTTTTATCTTTTGCAGATATATTGCTGAATCTCTGAGCAATCGAGAACTCAGCAAGCGGCCTTCCGAAAAATCCTGGGTGCTTTTCAAAAATCCGCGAGCGGGGTACGAGAGATCAGCAATCTATCTTTCCGGTGCCCGCCTGCCCCCGGCGATTGTCTGAGTGCCTTATAGAGCATAAAACGCTGTTCACGAATCTGCTTTCAATATCTGCAAAGCGCTTCCGGGAGGGGAGTTAGGGGAATCTCTTAATGCATAAATTTGAACACGCCACTACAATAAAATTACTCAAACCTGTGGTTAATGGAGCCATGATTACTGCTAGGGCGCTTTATGCAACAGATAGCTTCAGTATAATAAAGTCGTGCCAGTCACACCCCTTTCAAGCGCCAGAAAGACCTCAACATCTGTTACCTTAGCCAAAGACTTCAATCTTTACTTCAATAAGTTCCCTCAATTCCCCTCTGAAAAACGCTTTGCAGATACCGAACGCAGTTTTGGAATCAGCGTTTCATACTTTACAAGATAGTATGCACTTCATATGAAAACGCCACTTTGTCCAAGTATCCTTCCCTTGTGAGTGCATTGCCTACACATCAAGGTTGCATGCATGATGATGGTTCATGCCGCGTATTTAGTCACGAGGTGGCGCGCGAACGAACACCATTGCGGTGCTTTCCAATGGAGCATCGCTGTCTCCCGCATTGACTTTTATGCATGCCGCAATTTTTTCAGTTCCTATTTTGTTATTTCTAAGCGTGATCAACATGGTTGTGAGTTTTTGCTAATTCACAAACTTAAACCAACTAGTCGTTTTAGTTGGCGAGAAGTTGAGATGCTGTATGCTGTGGTGAATACCTTTTGAGTAGGGTTTGGGAACGCAGAAAATCTGTTTTTTTTTAGAATCTCCGTAGAGAAATCGTAATTTCAGTATTTACAGTGACCGCTAAGTTGCGGACAAGGAAACTTGCTTTTTATTTCTCTTTTTTTCAAAAAGAAACGCGATATTTTCTTTTAGATTTTTTTCGGATCGAAAACACAAGTAATCAAAACAGGCGAGCATACTGTTCTATCTTATTCAGGGCTTTGATCATGTTGAGCTTTCTTGCAAGAAACCAAAGCCTGATTTATATTTAGTACTTTCTAATAACTTTTAAGCTCTAGTTAACCAAATTCCGTCGCAAGACAACCGTTTTAGCACATACAACGTTGTTTAGATTAGTGCTCTTAGAGGCAGTGTCCGGACAGCTTTGAGAGCACCTAATTCTGGCGTTTCTACGAAGCGGGCTTCTCATGCAAATCATAGTCCAATTGCGAGCGCAGAGTACTGCTTCTAGAGCGAGAAGACCGCTTCAGAAGTGCAAACGGGTCCGCCCCTCGATTAAGTATCGCCTACCGAAGCAGGTCGCGCCGGAACACGGGCACTGCGGCGATGTCATTGGCTGCAGCGGAGCGTTCTGGCGCGACTTCCTGCTTCGTTGAGATGATACCGAATCGAGGGGCGGGTCTGTTTGCACTTCTGAAGCTGTTCGCTCTAGAAGCAATACTGACTCGCAATTGGGCTATGCATGAGGAGGCCGCCTTGGTGATGCGTTGGAATTAGATGCTTCCAGGTCTGCCCGGACACTGCCTTCAGGCAATCTATATCGAGCGTGGACTGATGACTTTCCTTAGTGAAAGTCGATATTCATATTGCTTGACATGACCGTTCTGCACCTGACCACTAACTTGTAACAGTTTGCAGGCTTGTAGCTCGGCTAGAAATCATTACATAAGTTTGCAAAGAGATCCGTTCGAAAGAGCAATCCTCCACTTAGACAGAGCGAGACTTCCTTCGCACGATGATAGCATTAGTGGTAGGTTTAGGAAATCTTGGACATTTTGGTCAAGAAAGTGCAGCCTCAGTGGTGAGTCAAGGTTCCGGACAAGGTTAGTTTGAGCTCTTCTCGTCACTGGTGCCATTTTAAAATTTCGGTATTAACATACTGTTTGTATTCAAAGGCAGCGTCCAGGCAAATCTGGAATATGGGGCTCTCACGTGGATAGTAATTTTGGGGCCCCAACTAAGTCATTGCCGAACCGGCAGCTCAGGTAGTGCACCAACGGCTGAGATGTTCGCCTCGAAACTGGACCTCGGGATCGTATTTCGCATGGATTCATGGCGCAACCCATTAATTTCGCGCGAGGACCCATGGGTTGCGCCATGAATCCATGCCGATCCCGGGATCCAGTTTCGGGCGAATATCTCAGTCGTTAGAGCACTACATGAATTGCCGCTTGGGCAGTGGCTTAGTTAGGGCGCCGAAATTACTATCCACGTGAGATCCTCATGTGTCCAGATTTGCCTGGACGCTGCCTTCAAGGGCAGTGGATCCGCAAAATCCAACAACTCGGGATTCTAACGCGATAGGTTCCTTATCACCCAAGTATGAAGACAGTGCAATCCCGGTTGCACAGCATGCTTTCCCTGCCGAGAAAATCGCTCTCAAACTTACACCGCAGGCCAATCTTACACGCATCTGGACGAGTTGGCAATTTCCTCCTCACCATTGGAGGCTGCCCGCCGCAACGTTATAAACATTGGGTCCTGCCACGATTTAGCGTCATGGCCTTGCTCCACTCGTCCAATATCAAAGGGAAGGGCATTAAAAAACGCTCATTTTCGCGAGACGAGATATAGACGAGTAGAGGATCCTCCACCCGCATACGTGTTACGTGTTCCGAGGTGTTACGTGCCATAATTCTTTTGACACTCCTCCATTTCAGATACTTGCAACGACCTTCAAAGAGACTAGTTGCCTTGGGATTCTTATATAAGGAAGAAGGATTGGCGTATAGACGATATCCATGCTCATACAAGTTCTTCTGTAGACCAGCAAAACGTAAACCAGAACAGGGGAATTGAACCTGCGAGCTTCTGCCTGCAAACCACCACACTAGCCACCACACCAGGCGGGAAGCAGCAGCGCTGCCGCTCTTGTACCTGTGTCGATTTTCGCCCCCCTAAAAACCCTCATAACTCCTCGCTTAAAGATGTGCCGCAGATAAGGAAGGCAGATATGAAATCAGCGAAGCCTTTTAAGATGATATACATCGCATCTTAAGAGGCCACTTCGACCGATCTTCCTTCCCTTGTGAGCTGAGAGTTGAGGTGCTGCCGTTTTGTATGAGTGTTTTCTGCTTCCGTGGGCGCAAAGAGCGCAATCAAATCGTCACGATTTTAGAAACGACCTATACGTCTGAAGTAGGGTAGGCCCTGTGTCAATTACGTACTCCCTCTTTCTTCCGCGCAATCGCTACGTCAAAGCTTGGGACGTACGGTAACCACACGGCGCTGCAACGGCTGGATTCGCCATGGAGCGCGGCCGTGGAGCGAAGCTCGTTTTTGGCATGGAACCTAACACGTTTCGGACCGCGAAATCGCGCGCGGCGAAAAAAGAGTGCACTATTAGCCATTAGCCAACAAAGGGACCTTATTTCGTAGACTGTGTGCTATATCTATAATCAGCTTGTCAGATAAGTTCCATACCCAAAGTTTTGAATGGATTCGAAGTGTTTGAATTTTGTCGCTTGTGAAAGACTTTTTTGCTTCTCTGAAAGATAGAAACATGAACTCAGTTTCTAATGGCATCTAAAAGTATCTATTTTGTAGACGGTACACCAGTATTGAAACTACGGAAAATCTCTTTGATATCGAAGCAAAGGGAAGTTGCGACGTCGCAGTCGTTCGCGTTGTCGCACTTCGTTGCAACTGTTGTTCGATTTGTGCTCACTCCTGAACAAATATCGGCGGCATACCTCTACAGAGTTAGTTGAAAAAGCTTAGGCCTTTGACTTGATAGTCTTGGACTTAAAGGCAGTGGCTCGGCAAATTTCAACCTAGTAAGATTTTCGCTTACCTGGGGTTATTCAATACGCTGGTCCCGAAAATGCACTTCTGAGAGCTTGAAAACGGCGAAAACCAGCGTCTTTAAATGCCCTTCTTTTTGGTGGAGCAGGGCTGATGACGCTGAATCGTTGCAGGACCCAATGGTTATAGCGTTGCGGCGGGCAGCCTGCAATGGTGAGAGGGATTGTCAACTCGTCCGGATGCGTGTAAGATTACTCTGCGCGTGTAAGTTTGAGAGCAGTTTTCTCGGCAGGGAAAGCATGCTGTGCAACCGGGATTGCACTGTTTTCAAACTTGTGCGATAAGGAACCCACCGCATTGAAATCCTGAGTTGTTGAGTTTTGCCGACCCACTGCCTTTAAAGGCAGCGTCCAGGCAAGTCTGGACACATGGGGATCTCACGTGGATAGTAATTTTGGGGCTCTAATTAAGCCACTGCCCAACCGGCAGCTCAGGTCGTGTTTTAACGGCTGAGATGTTCGCCTCGAAACTGGACCTCGGGATCGTATTTCGTATGGATTCATGGCGCAACCCATTAATTTCGCGCGAGGACTCATGGGTTGCGCCATGAATCCATGCGATCCCGGGATCCAGTTTCGAGGCGAATATCTCAGTCGTTAGAGCACTACATGAGTTGCCGCTTGGGCAGTGGCTTAGTTAGGGCGCCGAAATTACTATTTACGTGAGATCCTCATGTGTCCAGATTTTCCTGGACGCTGCCAAAGGCAGTGGATCGGCAAAATCCAACAACTCGGGATTTACGCGGTAGGTTCCTTATCACCCAAGTATGAAGACAGTGCAATCCCGGTTGCACAGCATGCTTTCCCTGCCGAGAAAATCGCTCTCAAACTTACACCGCAGGCCAATCTTACACGCATCTGGACGAGTTGGCAATTTCCTTCTCACCATTGGAGGCTGCCTGCCGCAACGCTTTAACCATTGGGTCCTGCCACGATTTAGCGTCATCGACCTTGCTCCACTCGTACAATTCCAAACGGAAGGGCATTAAAAAACGCTCATTTTCGCCGTTTTCAAGCTTTCAAAAGTGGATTTTCGGGATATTGAAAAACCCCAGGTAAGCGCAATGACAAGGTTGAGATTTGCTGAGCCGCTGCCTTTAAGTTAAATCCAAAGTTTAGGATGGTTTTGGTGCCAAAAAGAGCCTAAGCATTTTGTCCCAAATTTCAGTGAGGCTGCACTTTCTTGAACCATGCTCAAAATTTTCTTTCTAAACCTACCGAATTTGAAGCCTCTCTCTTTCGAAGGGACCTTGCAAGCTTGTATAACAACTGTTAGTCGAGCTTCAAGCTGCAAAGCGTTATAAGTCAATAGCGAATAGCGATGTGCAGGTGAGGTCATGTGCAAGCACTACCAAGAATTGTAGCAAAGAAAGTCATCAGTAAACGTTTGGTGCATATGAAATGTTGAAGGTATTTATCTCATTCAGGTGACTTTGCTGGTACTGAAATGGTCCTTATGGGTGCTAGAGCGAGTCAAAATTTGTCTTTCAAAGAATACAAAGTAAAATTCAGATTTGTGTTTTTGTGGAAAGAATCATATGGTGCGCACAAGTTTCTATTTTTTTTAGCACTATATCTTCATTATAATGAAAATGGTGTGGAATAGTAAGAATTAGAGCATACCGAGCTCCTAGCGTTTTTTCCAGTTTCTTAAATCTTATCATAGCGTAAATATAGAGCTATTTGACAATATAGAGCTAGAGATATTTGACCTACGCAATGCATACGGCTGGCGAAAGCTCTCGTTCATGTTGGCTGTCCCCCACCATGGCACCCACGGTTATCCTGATAGCCTCATAAGGGTGCCTTCATACCGTGCGGGCAGCCGCCGCTAGGAGCCCGTAGCAGCCCACGGCAGCCGCCAGCAGCCCGTAGCCGCAGCTGGCCGCTTTTGTCAGGGAAGCGAAAAATCATCAAATTCTTACTATTTCAGGTCCAGACGCCCACGCTTTTCATCTTCCACGCTTTTTGCTTCCTGTTGTCGCAAGTCGATCTCATATATCATACTTGTGTCAATTGTTGTTGACAACTTGTTGCCGTAGATTGGTTATCCTATTAGTGCTCAGTCTCCCTCTCGCAGTTGAACCATATTTGGCCAAAGTTTCTTTTTAAGTATAGTTCTGTTTCAATCATATCCTTGGCCGGTGCTTATCTTATATAACTCTGTAATGTGTGAGTGTGGAACTGCACATTAGCGCAATAGGAAAAAAGAAGCGTGGAAGACGGAAAGCGTGGGCGGGCGCACTCAAAGTAGTGAGAATTGGTGATTTTGCGCTTCTGACAAAAGCGGCCAACGGCTGCTACGGGCTGCTAGTGGCGGCTACCGGCGCGGTATGAAGGTACTCTAAAATAGCATACTTGCCTGTTCGAATTTCTTGTGCTTGCGCTCCATGTATAGTGTGCAGGGGTTGCAGCTCTTGAAAAGCGTCGTCACCATATGCATTTAGGTGATCCTTCATTCCTCTTGAAAGTGAGCGATGAGAAAGAGAGGTCGCTTTGTTCGCAACTTTTTGGCGGTCATGGAACTGAAGCTGACCATCCTGTCTGTCTACACGCGAATCATTCGCGAGCAATATCCTCAACCAGTGCAAATTACGAATATCGCAATACTGCAATGTTTTTTTTTTGGTGGTAGATGTAATGAAAAGCGTGTAGACGGTCAATTGTCTAGAAGTGCTTTGAATTTCATCAACGCCCGTGGTTTTCAGATTTTGCAACAGTCTAACAATGCGCGCGATATCGAAGGGGCTTTACGCGTGATTGGAGAGTTGGATCAGCAGCTGACTAAAAGCAAGGTAAGTCTATCCTGTACTATGCGTACTGATAGGCGCTGCTTTCGGTATCGGAGATTCTGGGCACGCTTGTCCAAAATTGTGTTTGGCAGCTTCCAATAATGTCAAAAATTTGCTTGTGGACTCGTAAAAACTGCCGGAAAGGCGGGATTAGAGGATCGCGCCAGGGTCAAGCGTGTTGATGCGATCCTGGACCCTCATTTACGACCCCCCCCCCCCCCCTTAAAGGTACCCATCCGTACGACCCCCCCCCCCTTCCCCCCCCCTCCCTCCCCCTCCCCCATCTATCCCCCTTACCTCCCCTGCCCACATTTCTCGCGGTAACCTGCATAAACGAATGTCAATCTCAAAAAAAATTGCGTGAGAACTTCAGTGAGGTTTCGGAAGCAGAATTTCTAGGCCAGTGGGTGCGCCCAGCATCTCTAGCACATATACACACCTCCAATAATGTTTGAAATTCTGCAAGTTTACTTTTGAATTTCCAGGCATACTTCAGGCTAGCAAATTCGATTCCCGTATTCGACACAAATTTTACACGGAGAACAAAATGATATTCTTGAACTACAAAAGATGTTTTCGACTAAGAACTCAGTTCTTACCTCTTCCACAGTTTTTCCTGCAAAAAAACGCTTTAGCGCCGTCCAGAACGACGTCAAAAATGTGCATGAGCACGGGAGTTTGAAAATTCGTAACTAAGGCCAGTAAAAGACTGAGAGGCTGCAAAGCACAGGTTTTGTAGCACAGTGCCTAGACTATCCATAGAAAAAGTTTTAGCCCTTGAGGAGCAGTGAGCTCGAAAAAATTTAGATCAGGCTCTCGCAAGTTTAGATGCGATCTTAAAAAGCAAAAACTGGGATTTTTAAGCTCAAAATTTTGTAACTTACCAGAGAAGTTATAAAACAGCCTGAAATTCTTATGATAAAAACTAGAGGGATGGCCTCGTATTACAGCAAGTTCTAACAAGCTTCTATAGCTCCGGAGAAATTTAGATCAGGTGCAGATACGACCCCCCTTTTCTCATTTTTTTGCTACCATACATAAAATCATAAGAAAATCCGCAGTTTATAAAATAACACCAGATTTCGCATAGCAGTAGCAGGGCTTATCTAAATTACATATAAATTGTAAGGACTGTATGAAAGGCATTTCAAACAGATTTACAAATTATTGATGATTAGCGTTGATAGAGATATGCGCTTTTGTTGAGTGTGCGAGTCTTCGTGAGCCTTCGGAAGCAGGGTGTCTACACCAATCGGTATATCCAACATCATTATCACACATACAGGCCTTTAGTAGCATTTGAGCTTCTGCAAGTGTTTATTTTTTGGACTTTAGTCGTGCCAGCTGGGTTCGATCCCCGTTTGCGACAATATTTCGGGAAGAAATAGCGATTTTCCATAAAAAAACTAAGTCATAATCTTTCAAAAGTGCAGCAAATGAAGCGAATTTCTACGCTTGCAAATGTTTTCAAATTATTTTTCACTCGTTTTTATTTGATACATTGGTTACGGCATTCCATGAATTTAATGTTAAGAACATGTAATAATTACTTGCTATCTGATTTGCTTTCAATCGTACGGTTTTTTTTATCCAAACTACCACCTCTTACGACCCCCCCCCCCTCCTCACCGTAGGCCCCCTTCACGACCCCCCGTTGCGACAGTCGCATCACACGCTTGTCCCTGGTTCGCGCTCTCTGAAGGCGATTGATTTCTGAAGTTGACTGGAGTCTTTCTACCAATTTCAGCGGCATTAGCTGGTTATTTTTGATAGCCACGTTTCTCATAAGTTACCTATTTATGATTTCGCCCTCCCATTGTCAGTAATATGCCCGGAGAGTGCCACATAAAAGCATTTTTATTCTACTTTCAATGCTTTCATTGTGCTTGGCATGTCTGAGCTATATTTTTCGTCTGACAAGGGAATGGTCAGCAGTCGAAGTGGCCAATCCAAACAAGCTGTATAACATTGGTGGCCGCATGAAATCCTGACTCCAAATCTGTCTTCGGTATCAGCTGAACGCTTTAGACAACTTATGAGCAGTTGCAAGAATGATGCAAGAATGAATACAAAATCGCGGCATTACTCGCGAAAATAGGCACGTTATTGCGTTCTTACAAGGGAAGGACCTTCGCTCGAAGAGGGGTTCCCACACGTGATGCATATCATTGTGCTGGTCTTGGGGCACTAATACTTAATCCGTATTCCTTAGCTGCTCAGTGATCTCCTGGGAAAAGTTACGAGCCATGGTTTCCCCAGGATGACCACGGATCGCTTAAATGGCGCCGATAAATGTTAGTTGTGGATGGATGGCCGAGTGGGTAACTGTGGAGACTATGGAGGAAGTGGTAAAAAGTTCGGAATACTTATGTTCTAAGCATTCTTACATTTTGTGGATTCTATTGTTTGATATGTATTCCTAGAGAGCCCTTAGGCAGAGAAATACCAGGCACCCGTCGAATAGTTTGCAAAAATGCAAGAATGTTTGGAACATAAGTATTCAGAACGTTTTATCACTTCCTCTATAGTCCCCGCAGCTATCCACTTAGCCATCCCTCCACAACTGACATTTATCGGCGCCATTTAAGCGATCTGTGGTCATCCTGGGAAAACCATGGCTCGTAACTTTTCCCAGAAGAGCAGCTAAGGAACACGGATTTGGTATTGGTGCCCCAAGACCTGCACAATGATATGCATCACGTGTGGGAACCCCACTTCGCCCGAGGGTCCTTCCCTTGTTAGATCAATCTTGGGTATGGCTTATGCAAAGTAACTTAGCTGCATGTTTAGAATCAGCGTTAAGTTAAACATGGCTCTGTATGGCCATATTTGCATTGTGCATACACGATTTCTTTCGCATTGTATGGCTTATAACTTTGCTCCTGAAGGGGTTCAGCAGATACGAAAGAAAGATTTAGCGTCAGCGTTTGATGCTGCGTCCGACGGTGTGCAGCTTGCTTGGATTGGCCACTTTGAATACTAACCATTTCCTTGTGAGATAACTGCTTTATTGATATGATTACGGGTCTTCCTCTATTCTTCAACAACTCAGCTGTGAAATAGTAATCTTTGTGACAGCTAGGAGATGGTGGCCTTGGTATTGAGACTGTGCCACTTGCTGAATTGCACGGTTGAATAGTATTATTGCCGAAAGTGATCGAGCCACTGTGAAGTTGAAGATCGGGGCAAATTGATGGTATGCTTATCTAGAGTTGTATCTTTCAGAAGTATAAGAAGGATGTGGAGCGCATGCTTGACTCCCTGATCGTAAATCGGTTGCGGGATCAGTCCAAATTTGTTAGACATCGAGCTGCATGGTGCCTCAAAGAGTACAGCGACGCCTCTTTTCACAACAGAAACATTCTTAGCAAGGTAGGATAGTTCACGGCTTCAGTGTTTCTTCAAAAAAAAGAATTTCATTACCTAAACTCGCATCTAGGTCATCGAAGCCCTTATCCAACGAATGTGTGATTCAAACGAAGAACTCCCTGTGAAAGTAGAATCAGCTCTTGCAATTCAGAATTACTTGGAGAATCAAGAAAGAGGTTTGCTGTCCTTTTATTAACTACATGCATTGAGTTCTCTGATATTGCTCTTGAAATTAGCCTTTTATAAGCAAAACGGAGTCCGAAGGTTATGTTACTTGCAGAAGAAACCATACGCCGTTAAAACAAGAAGTTTGTCCAGGTTTCTTTCTTCAAAACCAGTAGTAACTAAGGTCTGAAGGCAACGCTTTGGCGAATTGTTGAACTGAGGGGATCTCCGCTCAGCTCGTCCTGTCAATCTTAAAGAATCAAGAAGCTTCAAGAATGAATGGATGCTGACGGGCCCTTTCTGAAGCCCTCACTTTTGAATTGGGCGTGTGGAGCAGCGCCAGCGGGAATTGGACCCTAAGAGTCGTTGTGTGACCCTTTGGTCATGACGTGCCGACGGTGCGCCCTAGCTGCAGTTTGTGATCGCTAAATGGGAACGGGTGCTATCTGAGCAGCTCTTGGAGCGACTATCAGGCTTTAGATCCTCTTTCTCGCTCCGAATTTCGGTCGTCGCTCAATCATGGAGTTTGCTACTACACCTAAGGACCGGCACCTCACTGTTTGCTAGCAAGCTATCTTTGAGCTGTGCACATTCCTACTATCGGAGCTATTAAGGTGCTATGAGGATGTTGGGTTGTTGCTCGTGAAAATTTGCTCTATAGCATACACTGATTGCAAATCTGCTTTCCTTATCTGCTTTGCGTTTTTGGGCGAGGGGCTATGAGCGTTTGTTAGAGCAAAATTTGAATGCACCTAGAGTAAATTTTGTCGTAATCCTTCCTAGCGCTTGGATGACGCATTCGTGATTGTCAGGGCACTCCATGCTCTCAGTTCATATCTGCCTCACTCACCGCTACAGGGCTCAGCGTTATCGCGAGAGTCGGCGAGTTTGCGACCATTGCACGCGCATTGAGCTTTCTCACTTACTTCATTTGAGCTTAAGAAATTTGACAATTTTATCGATATAAGTGTTAATTCGGTTCTCTGCCCGTACACCTCTCAACCCTTCATCGAGAGACCCGCCAGATAAGGACAGCGGATTGGATCAGCTTACCATGCCCTCTAAGGCAATATAAATCTCAGTGTAAAAGGCAACTTTGACGAACCATCCGCTCTTTGTTGAAGACAGTATAAGACGAATCATTGATCACTTTTTGTTACTGTAGGATACTTTAGGTTCCAAGCTGCTTTGCTTCTGCTAGTAATTTGTTGTTTTCATAGAGCCGAAAATTTGGAACGTTCACGTACTCTGTTACACTTTTACAGACTTGCAATAACGTTAGGAAAACCCTTTTCCAGGGTTCCAGGGTTTTCGAAGTTTTTTTTTTTTTTTTTGAAATGGCGACTAGATTCAATGAAAATGATATATTGCAAGTTCGTTTGTAAGCTCACAGCAGTGAGGGAGCTGGTTATCCGCTTCATGTTGTAGATCTGAGTTCTACAACTTTAGAAGGTGTTAAGGCGTAACCCCAGAGTCCGCGAAATACGTCGAAGCGAGAGATTCATCAACAGATCAAACAGGAACAAAAAGTGTAGAAGTTCTACTTTGGCGACATGTACAATAACGTGGCCATTCATCAGTTTCAGAAGGTGGAATTGATGCGACTTTAGGCTGGGTTCATACTGATACGTAACTTCGGGAACAGTTCCAGCACAGCGCACAATTCGGGCGCTGTTCTGGAACTGTTCCGGAACTTTACGGATCAGTATTAACCCAGCCTTAGAAGGCAACGTCAGTCATCTTGAGTATAAATTGGGATTCATCTTGGACTAACTGGCAAACCCGGGTCCGCCCGGCCCTGTCAATAAAATAAAGTGCGCTTCATAATTATACCATCCCATGTTTTGGGAGTTTTGTGTCTTTTTGGAAGAGGTTCAAAAACTATACCGTGAAAGAGCATAGCCTAAAACAGTATAGGCTGCACAAGGATGAAAATCGGTGTCAATCCTAGATTGCGCCGAATGTGAGTTTTAACAGTTCATAACTATACGAACACCTCACGAAGCTCATAACTGTACGAACAGCTCACGAGGCTCTTATTTCCACTCAAAACTGCAATTTTTCTAGTCATAATTTTTATTTGAAATTACAGTAACAAAGTGTGAGATATCTGCTACACACTGTACCTCATTTCGAAAAGAGGAGCGTTACTTCTCAGATGGCTTGAGAAAGCTTTCGGAGTCGCGCTCCAAAAGTCTCTTTCTCTGTGGTTCAAGCATTCTAAAATTAGCTTCTACCAATGTTGTAAAATGAATTAAGTTCTGGATAGATTTTTTTGTTTGACGCTTAGAAAATCCGTGTACTCGTCGTGTTTTCCAACCAAGTTCCAACCCCAGAAATGGGCTTCCGTCTCGCGCAAAGAATTGCAATGATAAAGTGCATTGCTTACGAAATATCTGGATTTATTTTGCAGCGCTAATCTTGGGACTTTGAAGCAAAAAGGCTAGGAAAAGTGTGATTGCAATATTAAACACAGCCATATTTGCCAGATTATGTTTGCGTGACCAAAACAAATGCTCGTTGCAGAAACTTTCTGGCCAGATACAAATTCTTACGAATTTGTACATACTATGTGCTTGGATTCTCGTAGGACTACAGAAGCTGAGTCATACGTGCAAGACAGTGGCGGTCTCTGAGGGGGGGGGGGGGGGCCTCCCCCTCCTCCGAGATGGGTCGCGAAATTTCTGGAAGTTGCTTATATGAGTTGTAAAAATGTGCAAGTGACTTGTTTATATTTGTAAACTAGCTTGCTTACCCGGCTCCGTGCGGCCTTGTGAAAACACTGTAATAAAGGTCCCATCCCTATCCCTGGTTACAGCCTTTCCCTGTGCCCACTTCTACACTTCATTTCCCGTTCCCTGTGTTGTTTTCGAAATCAGCATGCCCACTTACCCCTTCTGTGCCAACTCCCAGCCCTGTAGCTCAAACTCTGCAAAAAATCGATAAAATCGACGAAAGTAATCGATAATCCTGAAAACTAATATTGTATTTGGAATCCCCATGCTCGATTACCCCCCCGTGCAAACTCCCAGCCCCGCAGGCCAAACTTTACAAAAAATCGATAAAATCGATAAAAGTAATTGATAATTCTGAAAACTAATATTGTATTCGGAAACCCCATGCTCACCTACTCCCTGTGCCAACTCCCAGCCCCGCAGGTGAACTCTGCAAAAAAATCGATAGAAACCGATAAAATCGATATCGATCGATGACGAAAAGTAGCCTATGACACCCGCCGGGGCCCGAAGTGTATGTTTGCCAAGTTTGGTCCGGATCGGTTCAGAAATGGAATTTTCTATTCGGAACATACGTACAGACAGACAGACATTCATACATACACATACAGACAGACATACAGACAGACATACAGACAGACATACAGACGGACATACAGACAGACATACAGACAGACATACAGACAGACATACAGACAGACATACAGACAGACATACAGACAGACAGACAGACAGACATACACATACAGACAGACATACAGACAGACATACACACAGACATACAGACAGACATATAGACAGACAGACAGACAGACAAACAAACAAACAGACATTCAGCTTTATATAGAAGGATGATCAAAATATTTTTTAAAATTTTTTAAAGATTCGAATTTAGACTTGAAAAAAATTCTTTTGGGGGCCTGGCTGCCGCCACGCCCCTTTTTTCTAATATTCTGGGGTCATGAGCCCACAGAAATTTTGGGAAGCATTCCAAGAGGGGCGAGACCCCTATGACCCCTTTAACTTGGAAATTTTTCGAAGTGCGTTTAACGTGCCTCTTCACTTAGAAAAAAATTTTGTCGCCTCCCCCCCCCCCGTCCGAAATCCCGGGACCGCCACTGGTGCTAGGGGAAACAGCCTTTCCAGGTCAAAGGGGTCATAGGGGTCCCACCCCTCTAGGTTGGAAGGGGTAGGTTTCCGAGCGTGGCCGCCGCTAGGTGCGCGTCGACCAGGGGAGGGGGGCTACGTCATTGTTTGTCACCATTTCTTTCCATGTTGTTCTAATTCATCTTCAAGTGAAACCTTATTGTTAGCTCAGCCGGGTTCAAACGTCACATATTGGGTTTTATCCGATAAAATATTCAGGAAACAGAATTCCGAAAATAGATTCGGAATGTAAAGACGGAACTTCTGGGAAACGACGAAAAAGCTCGAGAAGAAGTTATATGCAAAACCCGTGTGTATATATGTCAATGAAGTCACTCAAGTATTTGCTGAAATCCTTCTATATAAAGCTGAATGTCTGTTTGTATGTCTGTCTGTCTGTCTGTCTGTCTGTCTGTATGTCTGTCTGTGTGTACGTATGTTCCGAATAGAAAATTCCATTTCTGAACCGATCGGGACCAAACTTGGCACACATACACTTCGGGCCCCGGCGGGTGTCATAGGCTACTTTTCGTATCGATCGATATCGATTTTATCGATTTTTTGCAAAATTTGAGCTACGGAGCTGGGAGTTGGCACAGGGGGGTAAGTGAGCATGGGGATTCCGAATACAATATTAGTTTTTGAAATCGTGCATTACTTTTATCGATTTTATCGATTTTTTTGCAAAGTTTGAGCTACGGGGCTGGGATTTGGCACAGGGGGGTAATCGAGCATGCTGATCACCCCCGTGTTTGAATACAAAAGCAGGTGGCACCTAAATATTGCTATTTGCATTGAGTTGGGATAATTAGGTCATTCTTACTGTATGCTAGAACGAGGATCCTGGAGATTTCGACAATTTGCCTGCTTGGACGATGACATGGTGAACGAAGTACACAAAAATTTGTTTTTCCACGTTGAAACACTACATAAGAAGCGTAGGACAGCTGCATATAATTAATGGCGCCTGAGTTTTCTGAAGAAATTTTGTTTTACTTTGAAGAGTGAAGTTTGAGTGAACTTATCATTAAGAGAAGTCAGTCATTTAGCTTTTGAATATAATGGGCATGTTCTTTTGTGTCCTTTAAAAACGTTTCAAAGGCGTGTCCAAGCCAATCTGGGCACATGGGTTTTTCGCCTGACAACCGATGAAGGGGTCCAAACTAAGGCACTACCCTCAGTGGGCAGCCTTATAATACGCTGGATGGATTCTTGCAGTATTCTTTGGGACCTTAGGAACAATCGTTACTGCTGCGATGTTGCTAGAGCGAATTATGAACCATCTGGAGCTATCCGACTGTGTTTGTATTCGTTCGTTCTGGAAAAAATAGTGCAAGTAACCTACTCCTACTCATAAATTATTGAAATAATTAACTCTTTTTAAAACGTGATTTGCTTCGTGAAAATTTTTCGCGTGGGTTAATGAGATTGCTGAAAGTTTGGGAAACACTCTGAGAACGTTTCTAGGGCGTAACTAATGCCTGTCACGCCCTCGCACTATCGAAGAATCTGGGGACGTCACTGCTAGCTTAGCTCACAATGTTGCGGACGGTTTTGTTTTGACACTTGTCAATCTGATCTAGGTGGATTGGCAGGCTCACGTAAAATGTGTAACTACTCACTACTGCGCAACGCATTCTCACCACATTTAAACGAGTCAGCTGAAGTCAAAATATAAATTTCAGCTCATGCGATTGTCAAGCCACATGTTCGTCAAATCATGCTCCAGATTATGGAGATTGTTTCAAAGGCTCAGATCGATGATGTGGTTAGCGTAGTGGATGAGTTGCTGGAGCAATTTGTTGATGACATCATACCTGTGGCTGCTGAAGTGGCTGAACACCTGGTAACTTTTAGAATTTCTAAAAAAGATGTCTTCAGTTACATCACTACTTCTGACAAATAGTCGGGGTCGAGAAAGACACGGCGTTGTATGTTTGCAACGCCGAGTGTGCTTTCATTGTTCTAGAGGGGCTACTTTAGTATTCGATCATATCACGCATAAACAAACAAGTTCAAGCAGAAAGAGTGGCTTTTGACAAAAGAGACGTTGCTTCTCACATCAGTCATCCGTCTTCAGAATCAAATGGAGACAGTTTAAGCTTTGTGTGTGAGGAAATATATGTCTCAAATTTCTGAATGACATTGCAGTCAAATCTCTTCGTGGAACTTCTCGAGGGTCATACATGTGATGATAGAACTCCAGCACTAAATAGCCTCATCCCTACATTGAGCAGCATTCTTGACGTGAGGAAAAATTTTTCTTGAAGGCTGCATGAAACAGTGAAATTACAGCTCGTTGAAGATCATCGTGAAGTTATGGTCCATGTTGAAGCAAGTGTTCTGAAACCAATCAACGCTATCTTCAGGGGAGCCCATATTGGTAATTTGAAAAATCTTATGCATCAAATGGGCAAAATTTCATTGCTTCTTTGGTATGCTTGTTCTCCTCCTCCTGCTACACTGTTTCTCACTGCTTATTTTTAACGGTCATTATCGAACAGCATCTAGCCAACGCAGTTCTTTGTATCAGTCAGTTACCATCACTTTCCTGCTACAAAAGTCACTAATGCTGCGAATTTGTAATATATAAAATAATTGGTTCCAGTGAGTAGTCAGTCCTTACTGTTGTCGTTTATTCAGAATTTTATGACGACGTCATCCTTCTTATGCAGTCACTTCTGCAGTCGTATGTCAGTGAACCTATGTGGGCTGCCTTTCATGAACTGTACAATACGTACAAGACGTGTGATCGAATCACTATGCTCCCGTTTTCTGGTAGTGATAGAAGTTGATAATTGATTACATTTGCGCATTACCGTTTCAGATATCTCCTCTCTGTTACATCTGTACATCGTCGTCGACAACGAAAGCTTTTTGGCATTCCCAGAAAGAATGGCTGCCATGATAGACATGTGTGAAATAACACTCCAGGTGCACGTTTTGTCTCTTACTTTGAACAGCTTATTCTCGGTTAGCAGCAGGCTCAAGCATGGGGTGTGGCGCGCACACCCCGGGGTCGTATTGAGGAGTTGGAGAGGGAAGAGGGTCTAAAACAAGGTGACGTCGATGTTGGGGATAACACGATATTCGCTGACAGTACGTCCATCACGAAGCACAAGCACCCTGAGATATTTACCTGTCATCGTATACATACGTACACTAATCATCATAAAGGGGCCCTACTAAGCACAACGAGGGTCATTTTCATAATAAGCATGTTAAACAGCCCCTGTGAAGCAAGTTTTGGCGAATTCAGAGATTTCCATATATTGGGCCACCTAAGTGAATGGTCATGTTCGAACATGCCAACTTGATTCAAAGGTGACAACCAATATCTCGTTTGTCCTATTGCGGAACTAGCTGGCATACCCGGCTCCGCCGTATGTTCCGAATAGAAAATTCCTTTTCTTACCGATCCGAACCAAACTTGGCACACATACACTTCGGGCCCCGGCGGGTGTCACAGTCCACTTTTGGTTATCGATTGATGTCGATTTTATCGATTTTTTGCAAAATTTGAGCTAGGGGGCTGGGATTTGGCACAGGGGGGGTAATCGAGCATGCTGATTACGAATACAATATTAGTTTTCGAAACCGTGCATTACTTTTATCCATTTTATCGATTATTTGCAAACTTTGAGCTACAGGGCTGGGAGCTGGCACAGGGGGGTGATCAGCATGCTCGATTACCCCCCTGTGCCAAATCCCAGCCCCGTAGCTCAAATTTTGCAAAAAAATCGATAAAATCGATAAAAGTAATGCACGATTCTAAAAACTAATGTTGTATTCGTAATCAGCATGCTCGATTACCCCCCTGTGCCAACTCCCAGCCCCGTAGCTCAAATTTTGCAAAAAATCGATAAAATCGATATCGATCGATGACGAAAAGTAGCCTATGACACGCGCCGGGGCCCGAAGTGTATGTGTGCCAAGTTTGGTCCGGATCGGTTCAGAAATGGAATTTTCTATTCGGAACATACGTACACACAGACAGACATACAGACAGACAGACAGACAGACAGACAGACATACAAACAGACATTCAGCTTTATATATAAGATGGAGGAGGCGAATCAGGCTCAAAATATAAATGTTAATTGCATATATAAAAATATGTAAAATTTATGTATTCAGGGCGTCCCAAAAGTCTGTGTACACTGTTTGATCGTTAATATATAGCATGCTCTAATTAGTCTAGTGCACTGCTAGCATGTAATGTATAGGCCCTTTACAATCCAATTCGCGCCTAGTTTTGAACACCTAGGTGTGGGACACCTGGAGAAAATGCGGAATTCACTGACAATATTTGACTAAAATTGAACGTTATGAACCTCCGTTCTTCAGCATGGAAGAATTGTTAAAGTTGTGAACGCATACAATCCCTCGCAACTACCGCTCGCTTATGCTGGTATTCAAGGCAAGGCGCGGTCGATTAGGTTTTGCGTGGTCTCTGAGTGAAAGGGTGTGTTACATCCCTAAAAAGGGTGACAGCCACATTTTTTAAGGCCTTGTACCACACCCCATAAATCTGGCCCCAAATAAACTGCCAAGCGAGTAATATGTATACGAGTAATCATCTTATATATAAAGCTGAATGTCTGTTTGTATGTCTGTATGTATGTCTGTATGTATGTCTGTCTGTCTGTCTGTCTGTACGTATGTTCCGAATAGAAAATTCCATTTCTGAACCGATCGGGACCAAACTTGGCACACATACACTTCGGGCCCCGGCGGGTGTCATAGGCTACCTTTCGTCATCGATCGATATCGATTTTATCGATTTTATGCAAAATTTGAGCTACGGGGCTGGGAGTTGGCACAGGGGGTAATCGAGCATGCTGATCACCCCCCGTGGGGGTGATCAGCATGCTCGATTACACCCCCTGCCAAATTCCAGCCCCCTAGCTCAAATTTTGCAAAAATCGATAACATTGACATTGATCGATAACAAAAAGTGGACTGTGACACCCGCCGGGGCCCGAGGTGTATGTGTGCCAAGTTTGGTCCGGATCGGTTAAGAAATGGAATTTTCTATTCGGAACATGCGGCGGAGCCGGGTAAGCCAGCTAGTAACTTATAATAACGGGCTAAGGGTTGTTTACGTTTGTGTGTGTGTGTGTGTGTGTGTGAATTTCTGTCTGTCACGAAATTCGTAGAGCGAGTTCCAGCAAAGGTCTTGAGCTAGAATTTTGGCAGTAGCACCCTATCAGCAGGTAGGTAAAATGTGCAAAAGCACAAGCCGATCCGATAATTGGAACCTGTGAAATTGTGCGCCAAACGGATCCACGCGACATTTCTCGCGCCAAAATGGGCCTGTAATTGGACTTCTTTCACAGTCATAATTTCGTTTAGCATGTAAATCCGCAAACCATAGACCCTATCCCGAAAAGTGAGCAAAAAGTTTGCTTTCGCGTAAGATCGGCGCCAAAAAGGAATAATTGCGTAGATGATCGATTTGTCAAGGTTTTACCTGGGAATGCGGGACAATTTTTGTTCAGAGATGTAACTCACGGTTGCCATCATCTTTATGGCGAGTATCAAGTCATTATAACCCCAATAACTGATTCAAAATCGCATTTAATCCTTTGAAGAATACTTTCTTTCCCTTAAAGTCACCGATCTTACATGAAAAAGCTTTTGGAATGAGTAGTTGTTTACATTTCATTCGTGATGATCGGCATCGCGAGGTAAGTTTCAAAGCCATCATTTTGCGACTACGAGGTTGGTATGTGGATAGTACAGCCAGTGCGAGCCTCTGCGAAGCAGAGGTGACGCACTGGTATGTATATAATTCGATGGCTTGAATCCCGCAGTTTTCGCAGGGGTGGTTTGAGCCAGGTTCGTCTTAGGCTCGCATGCATTAACGTCCCTTCGGTGACTGAGGCGGCTTCCCCCGTTATGAAGGGGCCGCGTGCGGACATCTCTGCGGCTTTTACATCATTGAAGACGCCGCTTCTCTCGATGGTAGTGCATTGGCCTTAGGTATTCTGTTAGTTGACGAAAACACAGTCACTGAAAGCGAAAAGTGGACAGTCATTGAAAGCGAAAAATGACGTAAAAGAGGTTTTTGCTGGCTCTGAAATGGTGGCTACTTGAGGTGAGATTCCTAAAACGGGCAAGGAAGGAGTGTGTATTTGTATCGCGCACAAAAAGAGGTAGCTAGGAAAGCCTCAAAGAGGAAGCTAACTCACTTTCACAAGAAGTCATTAATGTTTGGAAATGATTATCTCACTAAGTGGCCCAACTTCTGGACCTCCGAATTCACTAACTTGGTCTGCAGAGGTTACTGACATGCCAACTACGACTGTGTTACTCATTATGCTAGGTAGGGTCTCTATGATATGCCTGCGGTAGATAAACGATAATGCTGGTCTATCGGCATATTAGGTAGAGGGGGTCGAATCCGGCCGCCACAGCTCTTGCTCGACCCTAATTATCACCACGGGCGAAACTTTTGGCGTGCATCATATAAGCAAATGAAATGAATTGTTCTGACCGTTTTGTTTGTGTGCATATGGTGCAGCTTGAACTGTGAGATCATTTTTTTTGCAAGATGCTAATACTATTTCAAAGAGAAATTAGACGTTTTAGGAGCAAAATTTGAATATAGACTACGAAATTTGATCTCACGCGAAATTTCGAGGATCCTGACTCACTGATATTGAAAAGCACTCAGTTTCAATCCTTGTTGCTACCTTGCGCGTAACTATAATCCAGATCCTCAGTGATTCCGACAGTCTCATAGCACAATTTTTTGATAAAAGGTGGTGTATAATATTCTACTGGGTAATGATGAAGCTAGCAAAACAGATTTGTAACCAGCGCGAGTTGAATCAGCTAGTATCAAACGCATCTAAAAATTCCCAATCTTATAGATACTTCATGCATCTGATAACATATCATTTCGTACTCTGGTACCTTTCTTCTACCTCTCCTCTTTTTTCTCGAACTTACCTGGACCTCCCACTAAATCAACTTTTATCATCTGCTTTTATGTTTCAGGACGATGATGCTGGAGGAGAAAATCATTTATATGCTGCAAAGATACTGGAGGTCATCATGCTTGAATGTCAAAACCATGCGGCAGAGGTGCATCATGACTGATTTGTTTTTTTTTTCATGCTTCTCATTTTGAAGGTATTCAGGTTGTCCCAACTATCATTCAAATGGTGACGCAACGACTGATGAAGCTTGATGAGTCTGAAGCCATCAGTGAGCTGAGAGCTCTCCTCTTCCTTGTAAGGACTTTGAGTAAACAGTGTGTGAGGAATGAGTCTTGTGAGAGACTCGTTGTAAAGCTTGGCAGGGTGCGGATCCAGCTCGCGTCACCGCTTACAAAGTATCTTCCACCTCCGTTGGAGGTTTCGTTTCAAGATTACCAGTCCATAGACTCTTTGCAGATACGAACACTGTGCGTACTTAGTTAGTTAGAGGCAATGTCCAGGCACCTGCCCCGCGATCGTATCTGGCGGACGACTTCTGGGAGATTTTGCGCGGGTACCCATTACAAGAGTGAGGGCTGGGGGGGGGGGGGGGTTCCACACATCGTGCAAGCGTTAAAATAATTCGGCCTCAGTGCACTATCTGCGCTGTCGCTTGAGCTCCGGATGTGTTTTCATGTGAAAGCGCATGTGCTCACATACGCTTGGACTCTGCCTTTTATGTCCAGGCATATGAGCACAAGGGCTTTCACTTGGAAATTGGGTGACCGCTGCCGTCCTAAATAATTCCACGGCCGACAATTCATCTCCAAATTGTTTCTGGTATCGTAATTAGCGGACTGCTTGTTGGTATGATTGCACATCCATCAGGGGGCAGTGGGTCGCCGCGCGAGAACGTGCGGGTCATACTTAGGGTCAAGCGTGGGGTGTGGCACGCCGGGGGGGGGAGGGGCGCAGGAGGGGTTCTAGCACCTCCATTCGCACCAGCATTCGCAGTCCAGAAGGCTCCTCGCACCTTCGCGCAGAGGTCAAGACCCGCCCATCGCTCTGCTCCTTTGTTGGTCTCATTCGGAGACTGCGGGGTGCGGGAATAGCATAGACACGCAAATGCGAAAATATGTGACGTGCAAGGCAAATTCTCTTACTATTGAGTAAAAACACTTTGACCTACCCGAGAAGGCTTTACAGTACTCAAAGTAAGCACTGAGTGATATTTTTGATAAAAAGGTAATATTCTCTGCAAAAAAATATTTTTCACAGTTTTTATGCATTACCATAGGTTAAAGCTTGCCACGTACGGGAACATTGCTAAGAATGTCCCAGGAATTTCTTGAGGACACTATCGGCACTATGATACTAAAAAAATTCTATGAAAAATCGTCATATGATGGAAAGCTCAATTTTTCGGTTGTAGCATACGTCTTGCTCCAAAACAGGTCAAAACCGCATTAAGTCCAATTTCACATATTCCATAGAGATTCTGTGATCTGTATTTTAATTTGCATCAAATTTGAGCTATAGAAGTTGTAATCAAAAACTAGAAAAATTCAACTGCCCGAAAAATCGAAAAAAGTCGAAAGTCCGTCGGAAAACATTTGGGACACCTGCAACTTGCTCATAGATATACTTTCAACCTAGCGTATATGTACACTTATTTCTACTGAATGTCGAGAAACGGAATATTCCGATAAAGCGATGCCCACACTAACGTCTCATGGTCAAAAGATCTCCTAGTAGTAAATTTCTCGTTCCTATATTGCAAAGGCAACATGTCTTAAATGGTAGATCTCATAAACTCTAGTCTGTCACTTTCCATCCTTTATTGTTCATCCAGAACACTTGAAAAGTATCCTCCAAACCTGCACAACTCGTAATGAGATCAGACAGTTGGCGGGGCAAATGGGCGGAGCCGTCTGAAAAGTGCGAGGGCGCCTTGGAGGTGTTGAGTACCCCTGCAAGGAAAGGCGGCGAGGCTTTGGGAACTTCTGGGCCTTCGCCTGGCACGCCACACCAGGGGGGTCGTAGAGGGGTCAGGGAAAAGGGGCGGAGGTCGTTACCGAAGTGAATAGTGAATAGTGATGTTAACGACATAACGTCAGTAAACAATGTCTGATAGACCCATTGTGCAAGTAGGAGCACTGGTGTTTTGGTCTAAGGTCGTACACATACGGTAAGCATAATGAAAGAACCCCTAAACATAAAAGCACATTTTCGTAATTAGCATGCAAATAACCCCCGTGAGCCAAGATTTGGCAAATTTTGAGGTTTCTAAATATAGGGAGGGTTAGTAATTTAAGGATAATTAAGTAATAATTTAGGGACAATAATTTAAATTTAATAATTTAGGTACATCCAAGTGAGGTGATCATTTTCGAGCATCTCAATTGTTTTGAAGGAGAGTAAACTACTTCTTTTTGCACTCATTACAAAGTACTACGACGTCTTTGCTCACATTAGGGATCCCACTTAACTAATCTCCGAAATTTGGAATTATGAGCAAGCCGAAATCTCGTTTGTCCCATTTTGCGCTTTCAGTTTCCAGATTAGAGGAGACCAATCAGGTTGAAATCACTTTTGTGAAAGTTACGAGGATTAGGCTATCGAATATACTTGTCCTTGCCGCCTTCCCTCGCGATTCACGTAGTAGCGCATGTTAGCGTAATCCAATATTTTCGCAGTATTTTCGGTTCTAAAAACGACTATATCTTTTCCTAGGAAAGCAATTTTCGAATGAAATTTCTGCTATGTGGAGAAGAAGGTTTAGCAATAGCAACCGTATAAAAAAGACAGATTTGAATGCTTTGAAAGAAAGTTAGTGAGGTGTGGCACAGCCCCTAAAAAGCTGTGGCAGTTGCAGCTTTTAAGGAGTTGTGCCACACCCCTTTAACTTACCTCCGAAAAGAATTTTAGCGAACAAGACACCCTTTGCTTCAGCCAGATCGGGGGCTGGGGCTCCGTCACCTATTGAAGGCTAGAAAATGATCAGAGAGCATGTTCGCGAGGGAGGCGCAGAATGCGTCGCGGACGAGCGGTCGCCTCCTAGGTCATGAAGCCTCGCCTTCCAGCAGCCGATCTAATTAAAGCAAAGGGTATATATAGTTTGATAGCCTCAGTCCTGTAGTTTTCGTAGGAGTAATTTGGGCTCGATTTATCTTCTCGAAGCTGTTGAAAGCGCAGACATTAGAAGCGAAAAATGGGACAAACGAGATTTTGGCCTGCTTCTAATTCCATAGTTCAATGCTTATTTGAAGCAGGATTCATGGTGTGGGTAAATATGGAGTAATGCTTTGTATGGAGTGCAAAAATAGTTAGCTATTTCACTCATAATAAAGTTAATCGTGTTTGAAAATGACAACTTCACTTACAAGGAAACGATACTCGGTGTCCGCGGGCTTTTAAGATGATATGTATACCATTACAGTCGTCTTGGAACACTGATTCCGAATCTGACTTCTGTTTCTGCTAATCGCTTCAAAAATGTTATAATGGATCGCGCTGATTGTGGATGCCCAGTGAAATATGGTCGGAGCGCCAACGCTAACGGTGCGTGGTCTAGTGGTTAGTGCGATAGCCCCATGAGCTGATCCACTTGCAAGTTCGAATCCTTTTGTGTTTTTCAGTTTTGCATTGCCTCAATTAACCTTCTTTTGCATCACAGAGCTAAGTGAACACCCTTACTCTTCAAAAAATGTGAAAATTCGGAAAAATGATAACTATTTGCGCTAAATTGTATCCAATGATCATAGCTCAAGCAAATTTTCTCGAACAAGCTTAATTGAGGTAATGCAAAAGTAAAAACACAAAAGTATTTGAACCTACACCTGCATCAACTTATAAGGCTATTGCACTAACCACTAGACCAGAAAGTGGCCGCGGTACAGGCCGTTCCAATGACCATATTTCCCTTAAGTAGCCAAACTTGGCTCGAAATTCTCCCATAACTTCTTTCAGAGAAACGATTAGCAGAAACGGAAGGCAGATTCGGAATCAGCGTTCGAAGACGAGTGTAATGGTATAAATCACGTTTTGAAAGGCCACGGACATTGAGTATCGTTCCCTTGTTAGGTGGTCCAATACTGGGAAGAATTTGCTAAAACCTGCCCTATGGGGGTTATTTGACATATTATTACGAATATGTGCCTAATTATGCATGATAGAGCCTTTATGTTGTGCCTACGGAAGGCAAACGATATTGCTGGTGGGGGGGGGGGGGTCGTATCCGGCGCTAGTTTAGAGCCTTGAATGTAAAGGTTGTTTGAATATGTGCCCTCCATAAACGGTGTCTCTGAAAAATTAGTGAAAGAAAAAGTTGCAAAACAAGTAGCAAAAGCAGAAGAAACTCTTAGAGACCGGATAAAATGGCGATGAGTTGAAAAAATTTTTTGCAAGCTTTCGCCCCACCTGGCAATCCACAAGTCGGGGGGGGGGGGATAAGGAAAGGTTAAAGGCAGCGGCTCGGCAGATTGACCTACCTCAGATTTTGACACAGATGGATAGGAGGCCCTCCAAGTGAACCAAAACAGCAACTCCGCGCCGAAAATGTGAACTCCGCAAGCCAGGGGGGGGGCGGCCCAAGCGCCGCTCCCCTTCCTCCTTTCGCTCCCCTAACACCTTGTTCGGACGAGTATTCTCCGCTAGACGGCGCGGGACCCCGCCACCGCTTCCCCGCATTGTGCATGCTATACAAAGCCAAAATTACAGGCAGCAGGGTCTTCGTGCCAGGGCCTCTCCCGACTTTCCTTTGAAATTCTCGTCCGAGCTGCCTTTTGGAAATTGAAAAAACCCCAAAAAAGGCCTTTTCACCCCTTTTAAAGCTCAGATTCGGGATCTACGGGTCGAGAAGGCCCAAAACATGCAAAAAAATGGAAATGCAAAATCTGCCGAGACGCTGCCTTTAATATCTTCTTTGTGATTGTCGCAGGAACAACAAGGTGTCGGAAGTGGTGACTGTCAATAAGAAGATAAACAAGAAAAGAAGTAGTATGAATTCACGAAGTTTTGTTTGCTTAAGATCCGTAGCACGTCAAAGCTAATCTTGTTCTTGATGCGCCCTACTAATTCTTACCCCCATCTGGTAGTTTTTATCTTTTGAAACGCTTTCAGCTTTGTTCTGCTCATCATTCTGAGCAAGAGGCACCCAAGCATGAAAGGAATGGGTGCTTGGTCATTTCGATAAAGAAACTATGAGCAGAGACGCGTTTTTTGAAGCTTTTTATCAAATATTCCACCACATTTGAGAAAGAAGCCTGGCGACGTCGTCGACATTATAGGCAAAAGCAAGATCTATCACATGCACAAAAAATTGCTTGAAGTGAATTGAAGAAAAAATGAGAGATTTTCGAAAACACCGCTTTTCCCAGATTTCTCGTCCAAATCAAAGAAGGGTGGGGGTGGCGTTGTCAGTGTAAAAGTAGAGATCAAGAGCTACAATATTGATATACAGTCTGCCGGAAGGTTTAGAATAGCGAAACAAAGGGTATCAGAGCCGAATGCCCGTGTCCTGTGTTTGGGATAGCGAGCAACAGTTGGTAACGCAGACGAGCAGAGGAGAAACAGCGGAGCCGACTGGGCATTTGGTTTTGGTCGTAGATTTCCGCAGGTTCGCAAAATCCTGCAACATTGTCAGGGCCCGGCACAGATCGTCTGGAAGCAGGCTGGACTTCGTTTTTAGAGAAAAAAGCAAAGGAGGTATCGTTTTCAACGAATCGGTGCCGAACATTAAGAATAAGCGCCATTTAGTCGAACACAAGCTTTTCGGACAGGTTATCACACGACTGACATGCTCTATCGTGTATGGCGGAAAGTGCGCGCGATTTGAAAGCAAGGCTAAAACAAACAAATTGCTTGTTTACAGCGTACACAGAATCATTTCACATCAAAATATAACAGTATGCATACAAAATTATTTGAGAAAGAATTATGTAAAAAAATTTGGAAACTTATGTGAAGGAATACCTTTTCCAAATTTAGATCGTCTCCAGACGGCCACCAGACGATCTGAGATCGTCTGGAGCATATATTTTCGTCACTTCACATAAGTTTTGGATTTTTCTATCATGGACGGCTTCCCCGGTCAAAAATCTATCCTTGAGCATAAAGACATTTTCATATCATTGCCTTTCCTTTGTTTTTTGCCTTAATTTCTTCATGAATCGCTTTGTTAAATATCGCGCTCTAATGCCAAACTCTTATGCCTGCGAATACTACATTCAGCTAATTTGGATTTTCACACTTATTTCACGTTTTTTCTTTCAGATTAGTAGACCTCTCTCGTTTTCATCTCTCCTAGGTAGGTAGGTCAAAGGGGACTTCGTAAAATCTCTGAAAATCAGGGGAGACTTCGTTTTCAGAAACCCTAGAAACCGACTCGTGCCGGGCCCTGAACATTGTCTATCATTCTGGTTGTCTTGACATGACTAGGTGCATTGACGATGTCGGCCTAAAAAATTACTCCTTAACGAGACAAGCAGCATTTTTGGAAGCGATTTTCTGCCAAGATTAATGCGCAGTGTCTCGTCTCGTTAAACTTCAACGGTTTTCGGGAGCTTTTGAAACTCATCCGTAGTTCAAAAAGAGGTTAGTTGAGAAATGTTGCTCTTATTTTCACGAAAGGATTAATGAAATTTTGTCCTCAGCGCAGAAAAAAGGGCTAAAAAACGTAATTTCCGTTTTGCTGAGATATCTTCGAGATATCGCACACTGTACTTGCTTTGTTCACTATCATTTCGATCTAATTATGACCTTAATATTTGGGGCTTTGCCACGGCTGTTTTTTTTCCTCAGGTGAAGGTTGTTTTCTCTAATCTCGTTCAGAGTGAAGGTTACCAGAGTACATGGCCATATGTATTGAATGTATGATGCGGCCCGTTAGTCATCTGAGAATGATTGCGGGGACGTGTTTGGAGATGAACCTCAAAGGCTTATCTGCACATTTGCTGCCAAATAATACACTCGGTACCTCTCCGGTTTTCACGTAAAAGCTTTTTGTGCTCAGATTTGCCTGGACACTGCTTCAAGTCAGTATAGGTGTGGAGGGGCATTTGCGCAACGGTAGCTCGAATAAAGCAATATGACGGCCGAGTGTGCTCTATCTTTTGCCAAGATATTACTGAAACGCAATCAAAAGTTGACATTTCAGTAAATCAAATTTTGTAGCAACTTCGCTACTGGAGTTGATGTGTCGATCACAATACTTATATTTTCATCGTCAGTAGAATCTATCCGGTGGCGCAGTAATTATTCACACTTTAAAGGCACGCATGTCTCATTGCAGAACACGTTAGGTTTGATAGGGAGTGTCGGATATAACCTTCGCCAAGTAAATCTTGTTGAAATCTGCAATTTTAGGTGCTTGTCGCTGCATTGTATGCGTGCACAGATGCGTTCATGAAATACATCAGTCAAATAGTTAATGACAACCCTCTGGACTACATCTGTCGCGAGCTTGTTGAAAATCCGGAAATCAAACTCGAAGGCATCCACAACAGGTCTTTCTTGTGTCCCATTACTGTTTTCAATGCTTTCATTTCAGGAAAATGGCATTATATGGACTGTGTATATTATTTCAAGTCCCGGAAGCTAATCGGCCTAAAATGATCTGCACAGAACCTAAAAAAGTAATTCATATATCTGTTGCATCTCACGTCTAACTTTTGCTCAAATTAAGGTTTTGGAAGCATGTCTTCGTTATTTCCAAGGTCTTCAAAAGGCCTTGAAAGTGCAAGCGCAACAACGTAAAGAAGAGGAGGAGTCCGATGAGGGTAGCATGAATTCCTTATGTATGATGGAAGGATGCCTAATTGATGATTTGTAGAGTCAGAGGTCGAAAGCGATGACGAGGGTGACTATGTAGCCAAAAAAAAGAAAGCGGGACGACGTAAGCTGCAATCTGAACATTTGTCCGATGACGAGGATGAGATCGATGAGGTCATTTCACTGTGCTGGCCTTGCATAAAAATCAATTTACTTGTAGATGTCTTTGGACTATATTGATGCTTTGGCTAGAGAAAGCAAGCGCGAACAGGAAGGTTCTGAGGATGACGATGAGTCTCAAATGTCATCGATGTATGAGGTAACGGGCCTGAATCGCATTTTCTGAGATTTTTTATCAGCAAACTAAAGTAAAAGACATCACGATTACATCTACGCTATTTCAGGAGACTGAAAGTGAGCACCTCAGCACAAAATTTGATGAAGAAGATGGTCCCGATGTCTTCGTATTTTTCAAGCAGACTATGGAACGTGAGTTATATTTTTTCTAGAAGTGTGGAATTTCATTGCGGCTGGGTCTGCTTTGTTGACGAACGAACCAGTTCCGAGTTTTGTGTGTACTGCTCGAAGGCAGTGTCTGCGCAATATCTGGTTAGAGGACGATATATCGCCAAAAGCGGAGGTTCGCGGACATCTGCAACAAATAGTTCTTTTTTTACAAATGCAAGAGATGCGTATTTGTTGCAGATGTCCGCTTGGAATTTCTCGTTTCGGCGGCATATAGTCCTTTACCCGCAAAATCTCGTCTCCCCGATTTTTTCCTGTTTTCCTCCTTATTCATTGCGCTATTCCAAAAATGCACACAGTGAGCGTGAAAGTAACAAAACGAGCTCCAGAAGCATTCCGATCAGGGCCCGGCACAAATCGTCTGGAAGCAGGCTGGACTTCGTTTTTGGAGTAAAGCAAAGAAGATATCGTTTTTGACGAGTCGGCGCCGAGCACCAAGAATAAGCGCCACTTAGTCGAATACAAGCTTTTCGGACAGGTTATCACACGACTGGCATGCTCTATCGTGTATGGCGAAAAGTACGCGCGATTTGAAAGCAAGGCTAAAATAAACAAATTGCTTGTTTATAGCGCACAAAGAATCATATTAGGTTGTCCCAAAAGTTTTGTCCGTTTTTTCAACCTATCATAAAAATACGTGGAACAAAGATAGGGAAACGCTCTAAGCACTATCCGACACACTTTTTCCTCTTCTTTCTAGCTGTCAGGCCCACAAACCGATTACTCTTTTGCTCACTGAGATAAACGCCGAAATTTCGAACTCATGGTTTTTACTATGTCGAAGTTTGACAATTTTTCACAATCTTCATTTTCAACTTTTGGAGGAACTTTGATAGCTCTCAGATAGAGTAAGCAAAGGGCAATGCAATGTAATTATTTGGCATATCTAGCTGGCTTTTCAATATTTTCAACCTGTACTTTTGCGAAGTTCTAAAATACGGAAACGCCTCGAACACCAACAAATCATCGGTTTTTGAAGCTTTCAAAAATCGATTACGATTATTCACTATTTTTATGAAGCAAATGAGCGTTTACCGCTTCGAAATATAAGATATTGCATTTTACGTGTGCACGCTGGGGTGGGGTCAAATTCAAGAGTTATGAAAATTTCATCGCCAAAAACTCCGCAAATGGAGAAAAAATACACTCACTGAAAAAGAAGGAAAAGCTGCATCGAATAACACCTTAGTTGTGCACCGTTTCATGATCTCTGGCTTCTGGCATCACTAAAAGTGGAATTTGATAGCATCAGAAAAATAATTCTAAAAAATTTTTAAGGCTGGCTACAGATGCCGCAAAATTGCATATTATTGCCCTTTATTTGCTCTATCTAATTGTTGCCAAAGCTTTTCCGAAAGTTAAAAATAAAGATTGTGAAAAATTGCCAAACTTGGACATAGCAAAAACCATGGGTTCAACGGCGTTTATCTCAATGAACAAAAGATTAATCGGCATGGAAGCATGACAGTTAGAAAGAGAAGGAAAAGATGCGTCGGATAGTGCTTAGAGCGTTTCCCTATCTTCGTTCCACGCGTTTTTATGATAGGTTGAAAAAACGGACAGAACTTTCGGGACAACCTAGTATGACACCGAAATTGAACTGTACAGGGTGTCCCAAAAGTCCTTAAGCCTAACTTTTCAACGTAGTAACTTTGTTAGTATTCCTCGCTTTTCAGCCAAATTTTGCCTTTGAGTTCTTCGTCTAGTTGCCAATATTCTTCAAGAAAATCATACCATTTGCATTATACATTCTCGAGATATACTTCTTGAAGCGAACAATGCTACAATCGTGAAGACGAGCCGAAGGAAACGTACCTCCTATTCAAATATTTACAGCTCTTTTGCCTTTGGAGCTCTTGTGGACTTTCAAACTGCATATTGTAGAGCTCTGTTCACTCTACATTTACAGTGCAAAACCAATCAATAGTCTTCGTTCATTAGAGTAGGATTAGGATACAAACACTGAAGTTGTGCCGTGCCAATGAGAAAAAAAAGTTCCCGGAAACAAAAACCTGGAAGAGCTGGAAAGTCGAGCACCGAATCAGCTTCAGTCACTAATTCTAGCTGTAAGCCGTGCATTTCCTACTGAAATACTATTTTAAAGTCACTCCCGGTACACCATAATGGTGTTTTTCTTGGTGTTCTCAAACACTTGAATGCTACATTTTGACACTTTTGTCAAATCTCACAGATATGCTTCTCAGATTTACGTGCCTTCAACAGCCGGGTCAAGAGGCCCTTGACTTTTCTTTGTGATCAGTAATGGAAAACAAGGTTTGCTCTATTTCATGCTAAATTTTGGACAGTCTGGATTGCTTGCTTCAGAAGGTGTGAGACAATCTCGATGTCAACTACCTGGCTGCCATAGTGCATGCATTCCGCAAGCGTCTGAGAGCCTGTGTAAAGGCCAAAGGAGGGTTTTTCGAAATCTGAGTGTATCATGTTATTTTGTAGGCTCTTCGCAAATTCCCTGCTGAATTTCATGCGTCTATGTTGCTTCATGCATTTTCAGCGGAGGAAATACTAGGCTCAAAGACTTTTGGGACACCCTGTATGCATAGAAATTATATGCGGAAGGATTATGCAAAAAGATTTGAAAACTTATGTGAAGTGATACCTTTTCCAAACTTAGATCGTCTACAGAGGCCACCAGACTATCTGAGATCGTCTGGAGCATATATTTTCGTCTCTTCACATAAGTTTCCAATCTTTTCAGCATAGACGGATTCCCCGGTCAAAAGTCTATCCCTGAGCATGAAAAAGTTTTCATATCACTGCCTTTCCTTTGTTTTTTGCCTAAATTTCTACATAAATCGCTTTGTTAGCTATCGCGCTCCAATGCCAAACTCTTGTGGATGCTTATTATTCAGCTCCAATTTGGATTTTCACTCGTATCTCAATTTTTTCTTCCATACTATTTAGTAAATCTTTCTTGTTTTCGTCATCCCGTAAGTAGATAGGTCAAAGAGGACTTCGTAAAACTTTCGGAATTCAGGGGGGACTTCGTTTTCCGGAACCCTAGAAACCGACTTGTGCCGGGCCCTGATTCCGATTACTGATGGACAGGGTAGGGGACTATTCGTTGCCGATAGGCTCCACCTCCGTGCGGACAGCTGATACATTTTTTGTATGATGTATTGAGCTGCGTGCTTTGTCGCAGTTGTCCAAGTGGGACCAGCCATGCCCGGCGACCCGGTGTATAGTCCTGCACCCGAGTGCACGCACAGCAAGAGTAGAGCAGAAGGTTTCTCGGAGAACCCTAAATTTTATATAGCTGTTGGCGGTCTGCGCACTTTTAGGCTGGGTTCATACTGATCCGGAGGTTCCGTAACAGTTTCAGTACAGTTCTCGAATTGCTTAGAACTGTTGTGGAACTGTGCTGCCATGCACTGCAGTCACCTGCATGCGGTTTTGAGCGGCGTGGAATAGCAATTTCTAATTTTCTTCAGCGGTTTTCATTGTATATTTTGCGCGTTTTCGCCTCGTTCTTTTGTCTCGCTTGCTCTCGTGGCGAAAAAAGCTCAAAACTTGGAGAGTGTTACAAGAACATGCGGTATTTTGTTGTCTACATCAGGCTGAAAATGTTACAAGGTACTGGGTTGTCCTGATGGTTCTGTCGTTTCATTTTTGAAAATTGTAACTTTTTGTCATCTTGACGAATTTGCTTTTTTTCATTTTACTGGATACAAAAGTCTTCTTTGTGAGCATGTTTCAACGAGCTTCTATACGTTCACTGCAGAGATAAAAATGGAAAAAGAAGACCACTTGAGCTTTGACCATTTTGGGATCGGTCGCCAAAAATTTGGAACCCTGCAGAAAAAATCGGAAATTACCAGTATTTCATGACCTACTCTCTGCATATGAGAAAAAATTGTGCTGTTCAAACGTCTCTGCGAAAAGTTATAGTTTTCGAGTGTACAGTAGAAAATGCCAAGATTGATTGATTTGTCACTTTTCTCGAGAATCACAACTTCTTACTGGAACGTCCAAACAGCACAATTTCTTCTCATATGCGAAGAGTAGGTCATAAAACTTATATACTGACCATCTCAGATTTTTCTGCTGCGTTCCAGACTTTTGACGACCTAATTTAAAATGCTCAAAGCTCAATTGATCTTCTGTTTCCATTTTTATCTCTGCAATGAATGTATAGTCGAAGCTCATCGAGATACCTCTACAAAGACAAGGACTTCTTTTTTCCAGTGAAATTAGAAAGAAGTTAATCCGTTGAGAGCAAATAGGTACTAATTTCTAACAATGAAACGACAAGCTTTTGGGACAACCTAATATTAGGGTATCTCATAATTTTTTCTGCCGTTTTTATTACAAACATATTACGAACAAACATACAACAGTTTGTATCTTTCCATCAATTGATGTGGCTTAAGTAATCATTCGACCGAACAACGCAAGTGCTACAAGTTGCCTATCAATAATCTGCCCAATTCATATTCCACGCGAAGTTTCAGCTGAAATATGACAGCAGTCAAAAACAAACTTTACCGTAAAAAAATCGTGTGTTGACCTTAAAAATCTTAAGAACTTCCCCATTTACCCTAGCATTTGCTTGACACATCGAACATTCAATCGTACATTTCTCGTATTTTTTTCATGGCTAAAAAAAGGAAAAAATGTGCGGAGGAAAGTGGCGAACTCCGCCCTTAGAAAAGTTCTGAGCTCCTCTTACACACATGATCATACAGCTCATACATACAGAAGTACGGTCATGTATTTGTACCCTTTGTAGATGCCCCAGTTCTCGAGAGATGGTGGTGTCTAGGGTAAAAAGTAAAAAATTATGAGACACTTTAATGTTCACGAAGAAGAAAGAACAATAGGATAACACAACTTTTAAGCAAGGCAAAACATGGGAAAGCGTCATTCTCGAAACTCGCTTCTGAGTTCGGAAATCTCTTCATCACGCTACTGAGCGGAAAGCTAGAATGAGACGAAAATGGGCGAAA